ACAGGAGAAAATCAAACTGCCCTACTTAAAAAAGGGTCAAAGACCCATGAAAAAATATGTCACCAAAGAGGATATACAGATGTCAAATAAGCATTTAACAAAGATGTCCCACATATCACATCAAGGAAATGCTATACAAAACAAGGAGACCCTATACAACACCCATTAAAAAGGTCAAAATTCAGGATATTGTCTACATCACATGGGGAGTTTCTGGAAAAACAGGAACTGCTCACTCACTAATGGCTGAATGCATATCGGTTAGCCACTTGAAAACAGCTTAACACATCTCATAAACCTAAACATACTTATGTGATGCAGCCATCATATTATACCTTGGAGCTGAAAATCTTTGCCCACACAAAAACCTGCACACAGACACTTATAAAGATTATATTACTAATTACTACAACTTGAAGGCCACCAAGATGACCTGCAGTAAGTGAGTGTACAAATGAAATATGAGGTATTCAGCAATGGATTTTTTTCAGTATTAAGAAGAAATTAGTTACCAAGCCATTCCAAAATAAATAGGAATCATATAGTATATTAATAAGTTAAAGTAGCCAATCTAAAAATTTTATCTTTTGATGAATAAGCAGAAAAAAATGGATTTTCAGGGCAGTGAAAATATTTACAAAGGTATGCATGTGTTTATAGATTTGTTCAAACCCAAAGACTGCACAATACCAAGAGTGAATTGTAAGGTAAATTATGGGTCAGTATAGCATATCAGCACAGGTTCATCCATTTTTTATTCATCAAAAAATCTTACTAGTTAAGTGAAAAATAGAGAATGGTCAAGTTTTCAATTTTTAAATGGTTGCTATTTGGGAAAGCTAATTATTTTTAGATATACGATGGAATACCACTTACTAAGCTGAGCCTTTGTTTCCTCTCAGATTTTTTAGAATATATTGAGGTTCAACTCAGGTTATTCACCCACATAATAAGAATCTGCATTAGGCATCCACAATGTCTAATAAGTTTATGTATATATGCATGTGAACACATATGCATGTATATATATACACATGCATGCATACATACATGCATGCATCTATTAATACAGATGAATTATATTCAGCCATGTTTAAAAGAAGAGATTCTAACACCTGTGAAGACATGGACAATGTGAGTGGGGCAAACTTTGGGGTAAATCTATCAGGTGAGATAAATCAGAAGAACAAACAAATTCCCTAGGACGTGACTTACATATGGAATCTGCAAATATATTCAGGGAGGAGAGCACATTGGTGGTTTTGACAAGTAGAGTGGGAATGGGGGATGAATTAAGACATTGGAATTTTCAACTGGAGAGCAATGTTCCACATGCCGACAATAGTTACCAATATTGCATATTTAAATTGTTAAGAGAGTAAATATTAAATGTTCAAAAAAGTGAAAAAAACTGAAGTTCTATGAGGTGATGAATATTAACTATATGGTCATAAACCTTTCTATGGGTATAATCACTAGATTATATATCTCCAACTAATTCAGTGGTATATCAATTATAATCTCAATAAAACTGGAAGTAACTTCTGATGCAGAGCTCTTAAATGAAAAGTAGTTATATTAATAGTCTCTTGGTTCATAATGAAATCCAACTTTTTCAAAATTGTTTCAAAATAAACCAGATTTAGTAAATAAAAGTGGTTTTAGGTGGGACATAGACACTTTGTTTTGAAAGTTATTATTAATTAATTTTATATTTTACTTATGATTATTGATAGTGGTTTCCCACTTATTAGTAAGCTTATCCACTTTAATCTTCTTTTAAAAGGATCTAACAAAAGAGTAACATTACAAATAACATTACAAATAAGCTATTAATTACCCCATTAAACACTGTAATTTTGATTTTACATATAGAAATCCATATGCATATGAGAGATTTTACTTTGTCATGATTCTCCTGTTTTCAAGGAATTCTAACATGTTACAAATATAAAACTGAAGTGTCCACATTCTCATTTTTTAAAAAGATTTATTTATTTATGCATACCAGAACTGGGGAGTTATTGGCCAGAGGGGTGCGTGTGGGTGGGAAGTAGTGGTGAGAGGATTCAGCAGAGACAGAGTAGGGAGCAGAACAGGATATCAACTAAAACACACTGCTGAGGGGCTGAGGGAAGCAGCATGAGGGACAGGAGAGGTCTGCTGTACCACTCGGTCAGCTCTCTGGCTGGGGAATAGAACTCGTGCTGCAATGGTTGTTGATAGCTTCATGGTGCTGGGCTTTAACTAACCCTTGCTACACCAGGGAAACCTCCACATTCTGATTTGACATTCATTTGATTACATTTTATTTTAAATTGTCTCAAAAGGTAACTAAGAATTTTACTTGTTTGGAACACAAGACAATTGGTAAATAGGGAGCAAAGTTATCTACTTAAAGACCCAATTGCCAACTATTTCAAACTTGATTTCTAAACTTCAGAGATTGCTTTTGTGAACATTCCCTTCCTCACAAGTTACGGTTCACTCTTTTCACTCTTATGAGTCACTAGAAGTCATTCATGTGTGTGTGCAATCGGTGGGTCAAAGGATTTAAAATATGAGAAGCGTAATACACTCACCCAAAAGGCAAAGGCTAGAGGAGAAAAAAAAGATAACTAGAAATTTAACTTGGAGAGGAAGACCTAGACATGGCTTATTTGGAGCTAATTGAGTCCGAGCTCAATACCATCGCGTTCTGGTTCTGCTCAGTGCTGATAAACCACAAATATTAACAGAAACAGTAGCAACAATAATAATAGTAGTAATCATTCCCAGTAATAAGGGATAACATACTCCTAAATTAATGCCTGGAAAAAGGCATTTAAGCAGCTGGACTCAAAGACACAGCATCCCCGCATATGTCAAAACATTCTATGGAGATGCTTATTTTTCACAGCCAACTTTTACTATCACTTTTAAGTGAGCAAACACGATTTTCAGACCAAAAAAAAGGTGATTCATACCTCATGTTTCCTCAGCTGACATGACTCAAGCTTATGGTTGACTCAAAGACAAGGAAGTGAGGCAGATTTCCTGTGCACTCAAAAGCCTCTCTGCCTTTTGACAATTACTCATGGGGATCAATTAGACCCATGTTGTCTGCGGTGTAGCGTGCTACCTATCAGGAGTAAGCTAGAGACATTGTTTCACGGAAAGTAGGACTTGTCAGCTCTGAGACATTAAAAAAAAAAAAAAAAAAAAGTCTTGTAGCCAGAGGATTTCTATAAAATGTTTGTTCCATTGTTCCTCACACTGAGTTTTAACTCAAAACATTGTCTTGCATTTAGAAGTGTGCAGCTTTAACATTTACCAAGTGGTATTCTCTACTTTCTTCTATTTTTTTTTTTAACTTTTAAAAACTATTTCAAAATCCTAGTTTTCCTAATTTTTTTTAAATTTATTTATTCATACAGAACTGGGGTACAGCCAGAGATGCAGAGGGTGAGAAGATTCACCAGGGACAGAGTGGGGAGCAGAACAGGCAGATCAAGGAAGTACACTGTTGAGGGGAGCCGTCGGCGAGGTCTACCTCGCCATGTGGATCTCCTACTGGGCAGGCAGGGATCGAACTTATGCGGTAGTGGCTTAAGCTTCTTAGTGCAGTGCTTTAACCCGCTGCGCCACCAGGGAGGACCCATAGTTTTCCTAATTTTTAACTCACAGGCTTTTATCATTCCTCAAAAATAGAATATACATAGTGAACTAAGCAACTTAGCCTATTCTCTTAGATATCATATTCCACCTGGTATTCCCCTTTTCACAGTTAACAACAGCTCCCACAAGGTACTAGTTTGTCAGATTAACCTACAACAACTATTAATGTAGCAAATTCTTGCATATGTCTCTGCAAACACTGTATGTAATAAATACAGTGTTTTGAAGTTTAACCAAAAGTGATTCATGTAATATGGACATCCAATGTGTTTCTCCTATTCCTGAGACAACCACACTTTATACGAGTTTTCTCTTGATCACAGAAATCCTGGAAGAAGAAAAAATGGTACTCAGTTCGTGGGGGCGTGGAGGTGGATTAAATTAGTACAAAGAACAGACCTTGCCCGCTTTCAAGCCATTTCCCTAAATTCTATGAATGAACTGCTAAATGGTTGATTTAACTTTTATAATTATGTACTTCATAGCATACAATCTTATGAGATATGTAAGCATATTTTTCCTCCATTAATAGAGTAATGTTTTGCATTAATGGTCTACTTAATGCTTGTTTTGGTCTGATTCTTGAACACTAAGATTTACCCTTAGTAGTAGATTTATTAGAATAAATTGTGTGTTTCACTTCCCTCTTTCCTCCTGCTTCACTCCCCTCACCCCTCACCTATTCTCTTTGGTGCACTGTAATCAGAATAGTCAGGTCCTTAGAAATCTACGGAGGTGAATGGTAAGTCATGAGGCACCATGTTATGTATGCTGTGGTTTGAATTAAGTGTATAGAAGAAGTTACATTGACTCAAAACAAGGCTCAAAAAAAGCTACAGGACAATGACCCTGTAGCCTTCTGTCTGGAAGGAGATCCTTGCAAAGTCTAGTCTTACAACATGTGGTAATTCATCTTGCAGGAGGTGGACCCTGTATTTCCACCCACAAACACATTGTCACAATGAAAATAAGGAAGAGCAAGTTCAAGTGATAGAACCATTGTTCTCACGCACTCATTCTCTGGGTAGGGGACAGAAATTGAGAATTACAGGAAAGTGCATACATGTCGATTCTACCCCAGACTCTGTGAAAGTACCTTCAATATTTTTATTCCTGAGAATCACCCTTGGAGGCTGTGCTATTAAATCCTTTTATAGATGGAAAACAGATTGGTTAGCATTAGCATTACACCCAGCTCACCCCTGATACAGGGACTGAGGCATCCACGTACTTCCGCCAATGTTTACGTAAAGGCATTGCGTCACGAGGAGTCATATTCTATAAACATAATTCACACAGGTTCCATCATTTTCGCTGACACTCAAGAAAGAAAGCGTTCTCACCTAACAGCACTGCTGCCCACATCCAGGTCCTGCGCAGTGACGGCGCCGATGATGGTCCCAACCGGGGTGTCTTCGAAAACCTCCATGGTGTACAGAGGCTTGCTGAAAACGGGGGGTTCATCCACATCCAGCACACTGATCTTCACGGTGGCCGTATCCTTGAACGGACCCGCTGACTGAAACCGGTGGTCGAGATGAAGGTTGGAGGCTTCCACTTTAAAAGTATAAGCCTTCTTGGTTTCAAAATCTAATGGCTGCAGTGAGGACAAAGCAAGAGTGAGGCGCAGCAGAAGGCGGCTGAGCTAAAGAACATGCCGGAGAGAGATCTGCAAGTTAACAGCAACAACGCTGGTCTGCATTATTTCCCTTTCCTTAATAATTAGAGGCAAGATGAAGAATCGTCTCCTTGTAGAATATCCTGAATTGCTTGTAAGTATAATCAGCCTCATATGTTAAATAACATAGATGTGCACTGCACATACATGCTAGGCAGCTCTTTCCCACCTTATGAGCAGAGAAAACAAGAAAACTTGGCAGGGGACGCAGTCTCTGCTCTTATCCAATTCTGCCATCTAGTGGGAAGAAGTAGTAATCAAAACACACCGAATTCAAATCAAAGTTGAAGATACTTTGGATTACAGTTAATACCCTCCTCTGTTAAATACTTTTTAATGGATAGGTCTTTTGCTTAAAAAAAAAAAAAAAAGGACTCTACCCATATTACCCATGTTAAGACATACTGTGGTAATTATGAAGAGTTCTGGCCCTTTGTTTTCCCATAACTATATATATCAAATATACATGTCATACCATATATGTGGGCTCTGTAACACTGGATCAGAATATATTACCAAATATTAAGACTTTGAACATAATCAAATTAGAGAGGAAATTGAAGCAAAATTTTTGGAAGTCACCTATTCCTGAACTTACTGATCTTCAATTTTAATCTTATATTCCTTTATTATGATTGTTAGCTTTATAGTTAGTTCCACCAGCTAAAAATTATAGTCTACAAATATGATATTGCTGCTGTAATGCTTTATTTAAATTAAACCTTTGTGACCAATGACTGACTTCTGATCACTTATGAAAAACTAAGGGAAGCTGAATGTAACATTAACATAGTGATTTTAGAGGACTTTTAAAGTTTCTACCTTCTAAACAAGTTCCCTGTCACATATATAAAAAGGCTTGTAAATTGTTGCATCAGCAAATCTTTTTTTTTTTTTTTTCTCCTTAGCATGGTGGGGTGAGCGAGCAGGAGAGACCATAGGGGCGTATATTTCTCTTCTAGGGACAAGATGGCTCCTCTGAACTTTCTCTGAGTAGACACAAAGACAAGGACAAAATCATGGTGAGGTTCTCAAAGCTCTCACCATCCCGGAAAATGTATTGTAGCAAATTGCAACACCTGTTGGACTTGGCAGTCTGTGTCTTTCACAGTCATTTTAATCTTAGTTTTCATTCAGGAGATCTACATTTGTTTTTCCTTGTAATTATTCCGTTTTTTTTTAACCTACCTGTCTCCATTTTAATCACATCTTATTTGATGCATATTCAATATTTTCACTTGGTTTTTATATTGGGTAGTTACCTACCTCACATATATTTACATGTAGTACTGATTTTCTTAATATCTATTTCTTTCTTGTTAGGAATTTTGATTTCTCTTAAAGATCATAGGAGAAAATAATGGTGCACATACTATGCCATGGTTAAACTCAGCAGTGGCGTTTACATGAAGGTAAAGTACCTATATAAAGGGAAGCAACGTCTATGATGCTCTAGAAGTCTGCAGTTGCACTAGAGTATTTTGTTTACAGAATCTGATTAAAGAAAAAGACGATCAATCCAGAACTATGAAAGATAAAAGCCAAAAATTAGAGTGGCTACAATGACTGGGAATATTTAACCTAGAATGAAAAAAGATGAAGGCAAGACAGCACAAAAGTGATCAAGTAATTGAAGGACCACTGTACTAAATATCAAACTTACACACTTCTGAATGGTGTGAAAATAATAATTTAAGTGATTAAAAACAGTAGCATTGGGTTAAAAGGAAAGGAATATAAAACAAGTGAAACATTCAAAACTTGAGTTGGTTGAAAAAGGCTGAAGACTTAAGGCCTGGATACCTCCATGAGGGAAGATGATGGCAAATGAAGCCTTTTCTCACTTGGCGGTCAACAAGCAGAACAGAGAAACACATGGCATTTGGTTGAGTGGCTATGTTCTGGGGCCTCTGTGGTGACACAGGGGTCACTAGCTCAGTGCTATCAAGCTATCGCTGCAACTGCAGTAGGAGTTGGATCCCCGGCCAGGTAGGTGACCCACACGGCTCAGCAGACCTCTCCTGTCTCACCTGCTGCTCCCTTCAGCAGTGTATTTCCATCAGTCTGCCTGTTCTGCTCCCCACTCTGTCTCTGGTGAGTCCTCTCACCCCCAAACTCTCCATACCTCTGGGTTGCCCATCATATAATGTGGCCAAGAGAAATCAGATGCCTCTAGAAAAGTCTGAGCAGGTATGTATAGTAGTGAAGGCAGCGTTAGCTAATTTAAATTGAACATACAATAAACTTTATTTTCCCTGAGGGGAAAACAAAAGCAAACATTGCAAGAAAAAAAAAATAATAAAAGAAAAGAAAAAGATAAGAGTGTGAGGGGCACAAGATAAAGTGGTATGGGGTGAGCTGGGGGTGAGTATTCTTTTTTAAAGATTTATTTATGCGTACAAAACTGGGGTACAGGATTCACCAGAGACAGAGTGGGGAGCACAACAGGCAGACTGAGGAAGTCCACTGCTGAGGGGAGCAGCGGGTAAGACAGGAGAGGTCTGCTGGGCCCTGTGGGTCACCTCGGGGTAGGGATCAAACTCCCACTAAAGGGGCTTTGCTAGCTCGCAGTGCTGCATGCTAACCCGTTGTGCCACCAGAGAGGGCTGGAGGTGGGGATTCTATGGACACTACACCTCAGAGGAGAAAGCAACATTGTGCAAAAATGAACAATGAGGTAAAATATATATACATAAACTATAAGAAAAAAAAGATTTTCTGTTTTTGCAAACTAAGTGCTCTAAGAAAGTTATACAACGTAATTTATTTTTTAAGATTTATTTATTTATGTATACAGAACTGGGAAAGGGTCAGTGAGAGGATTAACCAGAAGCCGGAAGGAAAGGGTCAGTGACAGGATTAACCAGAGTCAGAGTGGGGAGCAGACAGGCAGATCGGCAGATCGATGAAGTACACTGCTGAAGGGAGCAGTGGGGCAGGTCAGGAGAGGTCTGCCACGCCATGTGGGTCACTTCCAGGGCAGGGATCGAACTTGCACTGAAGTAGCTGCTACTCATGTGCAGTGCTGCGTCCTCATTCATTGTGCCACCAGGGAGGGCCCCAATATAATTTTTCTAGGTTAGTAATTTATAGCTTCTAGTGTAAAACTATTTGACAATATCACTGTCAGGACCTTTTGCTTAGAAAGTTAATTGAGCAATCCTGGCTCATATTTACTTCATAATGTGGAACCAGAATAAATGTTTTAGTATGTAGAAGTAGGTGCCAATTATTTCTCAGTTCACTTTATTTTATCATAGACTTTGAAATGTCTCAGATTATCTGTATGGTTAGGCAAATTCTACACAAGACATACATTTCACGGATGTATTAAATTAACATACTCGAACTAGTTTGACTCTCCAATTCAAAGCATATTTCAAACACAAAGATTAAAGTCCTGAAATCCTGTCTATGTTTTTTTAGGTGATCAGACATATTTTGTGCCTCTTAGGATCTTATGACCTATCACAGCAGGTAATTACCTGGTGGTCAGGGAGATAGAGAAGATGAAAGAACCTATCTGTACATACCGATATTTTCCCCCCACAACTGAAAACATGAATCCCGCTGTGATCAAAGTGCTGAACAAATAGTAGGAGAAAGGCCATAATAATTTCCTACATGGCTTTCTTTCTTCATGACCTGAGTCCTTAGGCAACGCTACTTTATGAAAATAGATAGCTTGGAAAAGGTAAAGTGAAATCAACAGTGAAATCTCTCTAGCTGTTTTTATCCCACTGTTGTGATTGACTGCCTTCCATTTTCTTACGGGCGAGGGGTTGCACTGAGAAAATAATTCAACAACTATACAAACAACAAAAACCTCCAGTATTGAAATAAGTAGAGAACAAACAGGATTATTTTTGTCAGAAATGCAACCTAGTCTGTGATTGAGTCCACCGTTATCAAGTGGAGGCTATTTACCATTTGCAAAATAAACAGAAACCTTTGTGACACGCTTGGGGGTCATTTTATTTTAAGAATCTTTCCTGGAAAGTAAAAATAATAAAGCTTTCCTAATTGAGTAGAGTGCTTGGGTGAGTAACTCTTTGCCTCCTGATTATTTACATAAAGTAAAGTTAACAGAAGCAAAATTTTCAGGAAAAAAAAATATACATAGTAGGGAATTGTGCTATAAAGAAACACAATGAGAAAAGTAATGTTGAATTGTACTTTGGAATCGGGCAAGATAATGCATTCTGCAATTTAGTTTTTAGATTTTTTTTTCCTCTTCTTTGCTGAGGCCCAAGTTATAAATAATGATATAAAATACTAAACACTAAATGATTTTCTTGCTTCAAAAAGGATAAACAATATTGGCCTAAACACAAGAAAATAAAACTTCCTCAGCTCTTCCAAGCTCGCTCTCATGACAATGTTGAGTAAATAGATCGCGTAGTTTTAATTTGAGGAAAAAAAAAAAAAAACAAAAAGTCGTGTTAGCGGACAGAACGCCAACATGATCCCTGATTTCCTGCTCCGGGTGATCTCTACTCATCTGTCTTCCTGACCAGAGAGTGGGAGGAGTCTTTGAATCGGGTCATGAATTTGTTAAGTTTTATGGAAAATTAAATTATGCAAATATAATTAAAGTACTTAATCACTGATGTTGAGTTAATTAAAAACAGATTTTACTGAAGGGGTCTGACCTAGTCATGTGCATCTTTAAAAGAAAGAGGCGGAGTAGAGGATTTCCTCCTGGCTTGAGTAAAATCCTGAGTATAAGGGCCCTCTTGGGTGGGGTTCTAGGGGTCCCCAAAGCAACTGAGGCTGGACTCTGACCAACACCTAGCAGAAAATAGAGGAATCTCAGTTGCAAATTACAGAGAAACAACTTATTTCAATAATTAAAAAAGCCTGGGCAAAGTCTCAAGTCACAGTCTTGGTACCGGACCCTATGATAATCCTGGAAGACC